TCCTTCATTGTTCATAAGTAAAGCTTTATTGGAACATGGCCACATTCATTCAGTTTGTATATAGTCTATAGCTGCTTTCATGATACAACTGCAGGCCTAAGTAGTTGTGATTCATGAATTCTAAAATATTTATTTGGCCCATTATAGAAAAAAAATTTTTGACCCTTGGTTTAAACTGTTGTCCAGACTTATCTCTTGCTAGTTGGGTTATAGAAGACATTGGCTTTTCCAATCCTATGAGACCCTTATTCCTGGATGGTGTCTCTTTCTTTTCTCAACTGCTTTTAAACTGGTCAATTCACTTTCTGTGGAGTTTCTGCTCAGATAGGTACATGCATGATTTCGCTTAAATTTATGCCAAAGCATAACAAAAGTATCTACCTAGCCAACCTACTACTTCTGTTTTCTCACCACTTAACTGTTAATTCAGTGGCTCATATTTTAGGTCAGAGGCAACCCCCTTCTTGTAGATGACACTTAACTTATAGTGTCAGCAACTAATCTATGTTGCTGTAGCAAATCATACACCTAAAATGGAACTGAGGTTCATATCTGAACAGGCTAGTATAGCTGTTCTGGGTTTGGCAGTATTGGGAACACTGAAGTGAGGTACGAGACGGCTTTTAAAAGTTCCTGGGCCCCCTCCCTGAAGAAGAATTGACTTCAGAGGACAGCACTGAAGCTATAGTTCAGGGCGAGGGACATGTCTGATCAAGAGCACCCAGGAGCAAATGAAGGGAGAGGAAGAGAGAGTGAAACACATCCTAGCCCACCAAGACCTGAGGTCAATATTCCTGCTCAGAGCAGCCAAAGCACAGAGAGGACCATAGGGCCGGCCCCACTACAAGACACGATGTCCCTCACTGACCCATAGCACTACTGGGGACAACACTGGAGACGCAGTGCGGGAATTGTGCCTGATCTGACTCCACCACACTGAGGAAAAACACTAAGGGTGTGCAACAGAACAGCAAGGGGAACAGAGCAACAACGTCCCCAGGGAATACCAAAAATAGACTGTAGGGCCAGGGTGTGACACCCCATCAGACTCGACCGGAAAACACTCCTAAAGGTGAACAAACAGACCTTGAACTATTTACA